GATTGCTCACAGCATACAAGTATAGACTGGATCGCCCGAATTGGGAACAAAACATTTCATGCTTGTGTTTTTGAAAATGGTTTGCTACCCGCAGGTAGGCTTTAAAACATTTGATGATTTATTCCAATTAAGTAACTCAGCCTTCACCCACAGGCATTCAGGCAGTTATATCATTATAGGCACATAGCCTCATGGTAAGCATGCTATTCAATGGCAACACTCACACGCGTGCAGGATGCTAAAGCATATAAACTCACCGAGTACTCAAGCCAAAATAGAAATCACATTAGAAATCATTGCATGATCCTAATTATACAGAAATGCCTAATGCAACACATGCAAAATGCAACTATAGCAGGCTCGGCTATTCTAAACATGGCATATGGAATGCTACAAACTATCATGTATTCAATTTGGAATTGAAAGTACAACACAAAATAGTGCGGGTGAGATACAACCACAAGATGCACAAGACATTGCTAGTGAGATACAAAGTGTAAGTGCACAAGATAGTGCGAGTGAATGCATGTTCTATTATGGAAGAGTGCATTTTCTATGCAAAAGATACGAGCATTTTCTATGCAAGTATGGAAGAGGGCCAGAACGCGCAGTTCGAGGCCCCGAAAACTGCCTGTTAAGCACCGAAAGTGGCATTCGACCACGAAGTGGGTCTCTCGGATCTCAGTGTCCCTCAAAAGGGAGTAAATAGGAAGTATGCCAAAAATTAGAGCAATAGGAGATGGTTAAGCGGTCCCGAACCGAGGCACGCGGCCTGACGGCTCCGAAAACCGGAAACCGGACTCCGAAATGGGCAAAATGGCCTATGGCCACCAAATGTAGCCCACGGCCACTGAGAGATGGTCTACGGGACCTCTCCCTCCCCTCAGGAAAAGAAACAGAGAAAACCGAGTCTGGTTCGCAAACCGAGGCAAGGCACAGAAGAGGGTTCGGAAGCCCGGAGGCAGGGCTCGCAGCCGCGACTCTGAGACTTCTGAACAAGCACAACATGCAATATCACCGAGTGCTCAACTGGTGATGTCTGAGTCTTAAGGTCGGTCAAAAATGGGGTGTCTACAGAGTCCGTGATGGTTGGGGCCATTTTAGGGGGTAGTCCCGCTGGATCTGATGGAGGACTTGGTCCATGGGGGAGTTTAGGGGGGTGTACCGCTCGAACCGGCAAGGCGGTCGGGCTGGGGCCGACCGGTCAGTTCTGGGGGGTCAGTCAGTGTACTGAGACGTTTGGTTATTATACTGGGTATTTCTGGTGTCTGAGTCTTTTCTCTTTTCTCTTTTCTCTAGGAATCGGGTTTTTGGTATAGGATCTTGCTGGGCAGCTAAGAAATCTTCAGCATTCGTGTATTTTTGGGCTTTGGAGAGTAGGGCTGCCATGGAGGTCGGTGGGTTTTTAGAGAAAGAGAAAAGGAAGTCAGACGACCGCAGACCGGCCATGAAAGCCGTAAAGATGACTTTGTCATCGTTTTCCGTTACTTGCAGGGCTTCGGTGTTGAAGCGGGTAACGAAACTGTGTAGCGACTCCCCCTCGGTCTGACAAATGTTGAGAAGTTGGGTTGCCGGACGTCGCTGGCGCTAGGCTCCAACGAAATGGCTGAGGAAAGAGTCACTGAGGTGTTGGAAAGTGGAGACAGAGTCTGCTGGTAGTTGACTAAACCAAAGTCGAGCTGACCCCTTGAGTGTCACGGGGAAAGCCCGGCACATGATTTCGTCAGGGAAAGCATGGAGGATCATGAGGGTCCTGTAGGTCTCCAAGTGGTCGTCTAGGTCTGTCGTACCGTCAAAAGAGTCGATGGTGGACATTTTGAACTTGGGGGGTAGAGGTTTGTCCCAGATTGAGGCAATGAATGGCTAGTTGGCTATGGGAGAGGGTTTATACTGGATGTTCTGCATGACCCCTTGGAGTTAGAGCTTCATGGCTCGGAGTTCTGCGTCTCAGAGAGGAATGTTGTCACCACCAGAGGGGAGCGGGGGCTAGACGTTACTGGCCTCTCCTTCAGGGGTTAGTGCTAGGACCGATGGATGTGAGGGTTGGGGTGGTGGATTTATATTTGGAGAAGGAGGTTGCAAGCCTTCTAAGTTGGGTGGATAAGGCAGCTGGATAGTATGGCTCGGGGCTCGTTCTCGGTTGGGTTGAATATCTGGGGGTGGTAGAGGGGGCATGGGAAGGTCTCTTTGGAGCAAGGCATTGATTAGAGCTTGGTTCTGCTCGGCAACGCGGTTAATGCTGTTGGTGAGCTCGGTAAAGTATTGTGGTGGGTTGTTTGGATTAGGAGGGTCGGCTTGGTGGTCGGGAACATTGGGGTGGGAAGCCATGGATCTAGTTGTGACCATTCACGTTCGCAGGTAACAGGAAGGGGTTATTGGGAAAGGGCCTCCGGTGACAATGAGCACAATTGACGCACAGAGTAAGAAAGGTTCCCACAGACGGCGCTAACTGATGATTCTGTTCGTTCCAATGAATCGGGTCGGACTGATCCACGCTCCTCACGCCTATGTCCGAATGTCCAAGACCGCCGGAAGACTTGCACACGAGTTCAACGGAGAACAGGGAGTCCCCCAACGAACCTTCCGACGAACAAGTTAGAAAAAGGAGTGGAGTATATAGCGAGATTAGAGATAGAAAGCTTAACATTCTTCTTGTCTTCAACGTCTGTTTATATCCTCTGGTAATCATTTCGTTGTCCCTTCCGACCTGTCACCTTGGCCGAAAGTCTATGCTATAGCTTACCTTGTTCAGGGTGAGGGCGTGTTGTCCCGACGGAGAGGAGTTATCACAATAAATGCTGTAAGGGGCCTCATTAATGGCGATGTGACGTAGCAATAACTTTGCAGATCTTTGTCTGCTGCTGTGGCTTGCCCTTCCTCTTGCCATGTGTCTTGATGCCATTGGTTCTTATTGCTATGTGGGGCTTCAATAGTGCTAGGCTTCATTAATTGGATTATATATTGGGCCATAAATGGTGGGCCTGGGTTGTTCATAGTGGACTGTAACCTTTATAGGCCTACCCATGTCAGAAACCAATCCATCAAACCCATGAGCCAAAACCACAAATTCAACAAAGAACCGGGTCAAGCTGTTAAAAAAAAAAAGATTTTAATTTGCTAAATGACAAAAAAAAAAATAAAAATAAAAATAAAAACGCATTTTGTTCAATTAGACAATAGAAGAGGACAAACCCATCAATTTAAAACTAAAATACCGGAGTATGAACTTACTCGAATACATCACTGCCTTGATCACAGAATTTGAAGCCGATTCAACAATGTCACGGACAACTACAATTGAAAATTCTTGGATTATATCTCTTGCGAGGTTGTTTGGGCTAGAACAAAGAAGACTCAACAAAAACGATTTCATTGGTGTTGTCTCGGAGGGAATGCATTCAATATCTCAATTGGTGGCTCTACGAATCTTACAATCCTATACAGAACCGAATTTGAAGAAAGAAGGCTGTAAGGGCACCAAAATAAACCAAATTAGGGATTGTTTGGTTTTTGTATTGGGCTAAATAATTACAGAAGGATAAAAAAAAAAATTATAAAATTATAAAAGGTCAAAAATCATAAAAGGATAAAAAAAAATTCTACTATTTCAAAGTAAAAAAGCCAATCAAGAATACCAAACGAACAAAAAAGTCTCACTTTAAAAAAGTTAAAAAAATTAAAAAGCTAACTAAAAAAATCATTGCTAAACGAAGGCTTAGTGGTGTTCGACTTGTTAAAAGTTTATTAGACATTTATTAATTACGTGAATAAGTCAAATTAAAATACATTTTGGATTAATTTTATATTTTTAATTATTTTTATTTTAACCCTTAATTTTATATTTTGTATCAAATTTAATCATACTGATAACATCATTAGTCTTTTTAACTAAAAACGATCATTGAATTATTTGAGATTAACTCATTGAGTTAAATAAATTTATAATTTTGACTCTACAAACATGAAATATGTCATTTATATGCATATTTTTCATTGAAAAACACTAGTAATCGTAAGTAATTAGACTAAATTGAGACAAAATTATAAATTTATTATCAAAATCGAGTCAATTAAAATTACAAAGACTAAAATGACACAAAACTCAAAATAGAAGGGATATTAGCATAATTTGCCCATACATTTTAAAATAAAATTTAAACAATTAACTTCTTGACTCAATAAGTATATAATATTTATAAAAATTAAACTACTCAAACTCGACTCGTGTTTGAGTTATTCAAAGTTGGTTCAGGAATTAACTCAGTATGTAAATAATTTACTCATTAAATATTCAAATCAAACTTGTTTGCAACCTAGAAATTCTATTTAAGTATTCATATGAACACTTAGGTAAGGCTTGGCAATTGTTTTTTTAATAATTTTTTTTAATTTGATTTTATAAAATTTAAATACGGTTCCATTATCAACACAGGCTAACGTTAGAATTAGGGTTAAATTGACAATTTTAAGAATCAAAATAATAAAATTGAAATTTTAGAGACTAAAATGATCAGTAATACATACATTAGGGATTAAAATTGTCTTTTATTATTATTATTTTCTCATTATCAATGCAGACCAACGTTAGAATTAAGATTAAATTGATTCAAATTGACAATTTTGAAGATAAAAATAAAATTTAAGAGATTAAAAGGACAAAATGCATACTTTAGGGATTAAAACTGTCTTTTATTCTTAAAAATTTTAAGAATGAAATTAACAAAATTAAATCTAAAAGGATCAAAATAAGACGAAACGTATATTTTAAAAACCATAGAGATAATTTATCCTTCTAAAAACTAAACTATATGATTTTGTTTGACAAGGCAAATTTCTTATGACATAAAAATTGTTGAATTGGTAAACTTGAATAAAAAAAATGTAAACTCGTCTAGAACGAACAAGTCAAGAAGATATCAATGGAAAAAAAAAAAAAAAAAAAAAAAAAAAAAAAAAATTCTTTACAGGTTTTTTTTTTCTATTTGTTTGTGACGAAAGAACTAAGAACAAGCGTAATGAAGAAAAAAAAAACTATTAAACAAAGACTGATTCAACAAATCACAAGACTTTGGTAACATTGACGTATATCTGTATCTGTATCTATATCTATATATCTATACTTCCAAACTGAATCATCAAGAATTAGGCTTCCTCCTTACAACCCACCATGGATATGGCTGTGTGGAACTCTTGGAATTCTCAATTCCCATCAAGTATTATTCTGCTTTGTTTTCTCTTCTTCACCCTTTATTACTTCCCTCTTCATGCAACTGCACTGAACTTCAGCCTCATCAATATTGATCAAACGCTTCAAAATCGTGAGATACTAATCGATTCATCTGCTTATATCACCTCCGAAGGCATCCAAGTCACCCCAAACGACCTAGGCACGGACCGATCGCAAAGAGCCGGTCGAGCCACATATAAAGATCCTCTTCACCTTTGGGACAAAGCTTCTGGAAACTTGACAGACTTCAACACCTATTTCTCGTTTGTCATTGATTCACAGCGAAGCGATAATTATGGAGATGGGCTCGCATTCTTCCTTGTTCCTAATGGTTCCACTCCCGATATCACAAAAGGTGGTGCCATGGGGCTTCCAATCAACCCCCAGACAATCAAATGGACCACTCCCTTTGTCGCTGTGGAGTTCGATACCTATCCGAATAAGGGTTGGGACCCTGACTACACTTTTCCGGCAACTCATGTAGGTATCAATATCAACTCTCTCAACTCTAGCGCCACTGCACAATGGTACAACAACATAACATATGGGATAAAAAATGAAGCTTGGATTAATTACAATTCTAGTTCGACAATTTTGAGTGTTATTTTCACTGGTTCTAAAAACAATCAGAGAATCGAAAGTAGCCTTAGTTACTTGGTTGATCTGAGAGAGCATTTACCAGAATGGGTTACAATCGGTTTCTCAGCTTCAACAGGATCAAGTTTTGAGAAAAATAATGTGAAATCGTGGACGTTCAATTCGACTTTGCAAATCGATGTGCTAACAGATCCAGATCCCAGTCCAACTCCAGCCCCAAACACAGTCACCCCTGCCGTTGGAAAGAAGATTGGTGCAAAAACCAAAAAGGCATTGGTAGTGGGATGGATTGTCGGCTCTTTGGTTTTGGTTGGTGGGTTGGCTTTGGTTGGCTTTGTCATGTGGAAGAAAAGTAGAGCAAAAGAAGAAGACGAGTTTGCTATTGAACTATCCATGAACAGCGAATTCGAGGCAGGTACCGGGCCAAAGAAGTTTTCATATGGTGAATTGTTTCATGCAACAAACCACTTCGCAGAGGAACAGAAGCTTGGAGAGGGAGGATTTGGTGGGGTTTATAGGGGTTTCTTAAAGGAATCCAACTCCTATGTTGCTGTGAAGAGGATATCAAAGGGATCAAAACAGGGAATAAAGGAGTACGCATCGGAAGTGAAGATCATTAGTCGTTTGAGGCATAGAAATTTGGTGCAACTAGTTGGTTGGTGTCATGACAGAAGAGAACTCCTACTTGTGTATGAGTTCATGGAAAATGGAAGCTTAGATTACCATCTATTCAAAGAAAAAAGCTTGTTGACATGGGCAAGAAGGTACAAAATTGCTCAAGGCTTAGCCTCAGCATTATTCTATCTACATGAAGAATGGGAACAGTGTGTGGTGCACAGGGATGTAAAATCAAGCAATGTCATGTTGGATTCAAATTTCAATGCCAAACTTGGTGATTTTGGGTTAGCCAGGTTTGTCGACCATGGTAAAGGGTCACAAACAACCGTTTTGGCAGGGACCATGGGCTATATGGCACCTGAATACTTAGTTACTGGGAAAGCCAATAAGGGATCCGATGTCTTTAGCTTTGGAGTTGTGGCATTGGAGATAGCTTGTGGAAGAAAACCAATTGACTTTAAGGTCCCAGAAAGTCAGATGAGAATGGTGGAGTGGGTTTGGGACCTCTATGGTGCCAGTAGGCTTCTTGAAGCGGCAGTGGATCTGAAGATATGCCCAGATTTTGTTCAAAAAGAAATGGAATGCTTGATGATTGTTGGGCTGTGGTGTGCTCACCCTGATCACAATCTCCGGCCTTCAATTCAGCAAGCAATTCATGTGCTTAATTTTGAAGTTCCATTGCCCATTCTTCCAGCAAAAATGCCGGTGCCAACATACTTAGCTCCACCAATGAATGCTTCATCATTGGTCTCTTTAACCTATGGCCGTACTACTATTTCTGATAGCAGCCAGGTTCATTCTTCAAGCTATAGCTACAACACAGATTCCTCAAAGTTTACCTCATCCTCTGCAGCTTCTTCTCCATCTGCATCACTTTTGTATACATGAATAAGTTGATTAGTAAAGTGATCAAATTTTGAGAACACATAAGTTTTGATTCAACAAGTTTCTTGTACAATATTTTAATGTATTTAGTAGTTATTAATTCCACCAGCTAATTTTTATATGTAATATGTAGTATACCCATATGTTTCAGTGTTTGTTTTGGATTCATCACTATAAACATTACCCACCATATATATCTATTTGTTCATGATTATCAATTATTAAAAAGTTAGAAAGTAATATAATGATTGTTATAATAATTATTACTAGATATACTGTGTATTTGTCAAGAGCAGATTTTCTGGCAGATCCCAAGTATGCAGATGGTTGAAGTTCATTTTCCCATACAAACTGCATAGCCGTAGACTGCATAAAATTTAGCACACAAATATATGAAAAATATAATAATAAATCTGAAAGTCAAGCACAATCATAAACTTCTCTTTGTCAATTATAAACAATTACGCATGGGCCTGTTTCATACCAAAAGAACAAGCAACATTTCAGTTTGTTATTTTTCAAGGTCAAAACGCCATTGCAAATATTATTTTTTGTTATCACAACTACTATAACTGATGGGCATGGACACTGGGGCATTGCTCCAACACCACCAAAAACCCTACATTTGTGTGTGGTCATGCTTATAGTATTGGGACCCATACATGAGCCATGATTTCAGAGTCGGGATCATTTGGAGTGATTTATTTCCTAAGCATACAAAAAATCACTCTAAGATTACTCTGGGAGAAATCATGCAAGCGGATCCAGATTTCTGATTTCATCCTAGGGGCGCCAAACATTATGTCAATAAATTTAGACAAACAACACGGACTTGGGAAACTGATTGATTGTGCACTTTTAATGCCAATTGACGTGTGTATCATATCCTAATACTGATATGAAAATTCACTATATTGTTTGTAGAATCCATTGTCCTTTATTTTAATTACAAAAATAAACATCTCATGTAATAATCAAATCACATCACATTGCATGTAACATATCTATGTAAAGTGCAAACACCAAATAACCGGGAAAAAAAAGGGCCACAGAGTTGATGAAAATTAGAACTGAACTTATACTTTTCGGATTAAAAGGAAAGTGATTGTTGAGAACAAAAAAGAAACCTTCATTTTTAGTAATTTTTTCAAACACCTGTTGGGCAACAAAAAGGAATTAGTTTCAAAACATTGAAATAGGCATCGAGTGACAAATCTGAACATCAAGTTGGATGAAATGGAATGCTTGATGATTGTTGCACTTTGGTGTACTCACCCGGATCACAATCTCCGACCTTCAATTAAACAAGCAATCCATATGCTTAATTTTGAAGCACCTTGCCCATTCTCCCAACAAAAATGCCTGTGGCAAAGTACTCTGCTCCTCCAATGAATACTTCACCATTGGTTTCTTAACCTATGGCTCTACTACTGTTGCTAATAACAGCCAAGTGCAGCCTTCAAGCCATAGTTACAACACAGATTCCTCCAAGCTTGCCTCGTCCTCCGCAACTTCTTCTCCATCTGCATCACTTTTGCATACAGAAGTATATTGATTGAAAAAGTAAGTAGTCCAATATTTACGTTTTCGAGCTGAGTAAAATCATAGTTCTTAAATATTAATTTCACAGTTCTTACTATTGTTGTAATTTGTATAGGTACTAAATAATGTATCCACTAAATATAGTTGTTCATTCATGATCATCAAATGTTAAATACACATATATAGAAAGTAATATAATGGTCTATATAATACATATAATATATAAAGCATACTTGTCAAAAGAGGATTTTCGGAGTTCTATTAGTACATCCCAAGTTTGGAGATGGTTCTTGTTCATTTTTCCTTACAAGCTACTATGGGGATATATTTTCTGAATACCAACACGTGGCATGGTGATGCCGACGTGTCAGCCGAGGTGCCACGTGTCTTGGTCGCTGTGCCGAGGTCATCTCGGCTAGGCCGAGGTTGTCTCCGAAGATATCGGATTCCGAGATAAGCGAATAAGGGACAAGAGTCCTAAGACGAAGAGGGGACTTAACCAAGATAAGGATAAAGCTCTTAGGGAGTTTATCTTTATCTCTTAAGGAGTCCAAAGTAAGCACTGAATTGGAGTTCATAGAAGTCGTACTTCTAGTAGGACTTGGATTGAATATATTATAAAAGAGAGGCACCCCCGTGGGTCAAAGGTATGCAATTTATGTTTTGAGTATTAAGTTTTGCACTTGATTATCTTTGAGAGATATACTGACTTGATCGTCAGAGTGCCCCCGGGTGGAAGAACCACCGCCGGAGCCTTTTCTTTCTATTACAGGTTGCTGAAGCCATCTATTCTGCCTGTGCTCTCCAGTTGATCACTAAGCAGGCAGTGTGGTCAGATTTTCACCCACACAATTTGGCGCCATCTGTGGGAAGAAAGAAGATTAGATGGCCAGTAACGGACAGCAGGAAAAAATTGGGGATGACGCTCCCGCTGGGAGTGGCAGACCAATTGACCTTGACATTGAAGGAGACAACCACAATACAGAAGCTCGTGACCAGGGTCACAGAGAGAAAGACGTCATCCAGGAGGGCGACACGTCAAAAAGGACAGACCAAGGAAAGTACTACAATGAAGATAACCTCCAGGTATGGAGGGACAGGTGCCTATGGAGGGATGAGGAAGTGAAAGAATTGGCGAACAAGTTGGCAGACCTTCAGTCAGTCGTCAACTTCATGATGCAGAATAATGTTATGCAACAACCATACCCGCTGAAAGATACGCCGATGCCAGCAACCAACACCCAGAAGGGCGGAAGAAAAACAATCCCCGAGGTCCCTCAGCATACCAGGAGCGGAAGGCATTCTCACCGGTCTTCCAGGGAAGTCGGACGAGAAGAGTCGAGGCAAGAAAAGTCCCGAAGGACGCACCACATGAAGAATCCAGAGCCCAAAGAACATCGGCATGTTCAAGGGCAAGTACTCTGCTTTGACACAACCCATGGAAAAAGATCCAAACGGGCCCACCACGAGGCCGAAAGCAGTGTACCAAAAAGACTAAAATCCATAGACAGCCAAGCTCCAGGGAGGAGCAAAGAAGACCTGAGGGACTACCTCAAAAGGAGGCAGCAGAATGTTGAAGCCGAGGTAAACTCCCCAGTAAAACCAAAGACAGCCCTCTCGGTGGAACTAGACAAATTCGAACCACCAAAGAGATTCAGTATGCCAAGGTTTCAAATTTATGATGGTAAGTCAGATCCAAACTTTCATGTTGGACTATACCTGAATTCAATGGCGTTATATAGCGGGAACGAGCCGTTGCTCTGCAAAGTATTCCCCTCATCCTTT